GCAAAATGTAACGTTCGAAAGGTCATCGATTTCTACGAACTTCGAACTCTTAAATCGGCCTTCCTTCCCAACCAAACAAGAACGCGACGCTTCCACGAAATTCGCGCAGATAAAAAGAGTCGTCCGGGGCCGAGTATCGTACAGAAGACCTTGAAGAAGGAGAAACTTTTGCGCGTCCTATTATTCGACCTTGGATCGTGGCTCCACGTGCAGCGTGTTCGTGAATTCGTGCTTCCCTCGTTTCTCGCTTCTTTTATCTCCGCGCCTTACAAATCGACTGGATCGTGGAAAAATTTATTCCGTCGGCTATTTCTTTCCCAAAATATGTATGTATTCCCTTTTCACCCATCGACAACAGGCTCGCGTTACGAACCAAACCGAAGCATTCTCCTCTTCCTTCGCAGTTCGCTCTTACTCCTTTCAAACATTCATCTACGAAAATAAAAATTGGAAAACGAGGAGAAGCGTGGACCAAGTGTGAACGAAAATGAGTAGCTGCCACGAGTTAGCGAATTATGTAACGTATGTAAGTAGCTACACCGTGATCGTTCTCCTTTAATATCACGAATCGTCCAGCGGTCAGTCCATGTACATACAGTGGTATGTATTTCTTTAAGCAACATTTCGTTCGATTACATTCGGTTCTAAAGGCTAAACGTGAAACGGACGCGAGCGATCGAGTAAGTTGATAATCGCCATTGGATGAGTCACTAATCACCAAACAACGACAATAGCTCGTTAAAATTAATGAATTCGTGTTAGACTCCCGTACAAAGACTGACGTAACTAACCGTATAAATTTTTACGATCGCTTTCGAATAGTCTCGTGACTGTTTTTATTTTGCGGATACATATTGCGCGATCTATGGACGCGTGATTCGAGGCGATACCAGTTGTTGGACAAACTTGTGATAACGACGCGTAAGAAAGTGAACGGAAGCACTCTCTGTCATCGTGAACCTATCTTCTACTTACCTAGGTAGTCGAAAATCTCTATCTGAAACGGTTCAAATATGAGCTACGCAGCAGACGTTAGATTGTACATATATAGGATGCTAGCACCAGTTAGCGATAGCAGATAAAACGTACGTCGTATTTGTAAAAAAAAAACAGCGATAAGGAAGGAAGGAAGGAAAGGTGTACTGCATAGATATATGTACATATGTACATATGTATGTATATAAACTCGTAGCGGCTGTCAGACTATTTTGCGCAGCAACCCAGCCTATCGTCCGTCTTACGCTCTGCCGAAATTACGGCTTCTCCTTTGGCACCTGAACGCTCGATCCACCTATTTACTTACCTATGTATCTATACGTGTAACAGTCTTCGACTCTTCTTCCATTTCTTTCCAGTATACGTCATTTTTATGCCGTCACCTTACCAAATAAACCATTTCTTTTTTTCCTTATTTTTTCGGGTCCACGCCTAAATTCGTCATTTCACGCGATACACGCGGTAAAAGTAACTCAGGACTCGAGGGGGAATGCGAATGTTGAAAGTGGAAAAGAAAGTTCGTGAATCGATGGTATTGTAGGTGGGTGCTGCTGATTCGGCAACGAGCACCATTCGGTATACATACATACGTATAACTCTTGCCACTCGCACAAACAAACTCATGCTCATGCTGTGATTTTCTCCGACCGAATTTTACATCCTTTGAATTTTCTATTTAATCCAGTTCTCACGGGTAAGGACGACGCGTCGATCGAATTGATCCATTTATCCAACTTCCATTTAACGATACGGTACAATTCCTCGAATCGATATCTACCATCTTCCACAACTTTCAGCCCTTTACAACTTGGAGGTAATTTCTTTCCAAGCAATTTCACCATTTCAAACGTGCGAGAAAAATATCTTTGTCCTCTTCTAGTCAAACATTCCTCTTGTATAACTAATTCGACGCGTTATTATGATTGGCGGGCAAATACGCGATTATCGCATATCGATGACAAGGGTGATGCAATTACGACGATTGTGATACGTAAAACGACAAACTCGGGGCTATCGAATGAAACCTGCTACACATTCACGTACTCTTCGCGAGCTGTGAAATCACGATGATAAAATGAAACGGGAGAATAAGACGGGGGCTGTCGTTTTTTCATCTAATCGATCGATCGTTCGTTCGTTTGTTATATCATTTAGAGCTACGGTAATTCGTGCAAACTCGTTTTAACCTTAAAGTCGAATATATAAGAACGTGGGTCGAATGGCCGGGTAAACAATCGACCGTAGAAGCTTACGTAATAATAATACGACTAATAAACTTACGACGCAATACCGTGCTGATCATACGGGCAATAAGTTCACGCGATGTCGGCCGATTGAAAACAAACCTCGATGGCCGACACGAGTCTGCGCGTAGCGCAAGAATTATACAAGTCGCGTCTGTATGCGTACGTTCCTGAAACTACCACAGAAGCCCGAGCAATGTTCGTCTATCCCCTTCCGTTTCTCTTTCCCGTGCCCAGTTCTTTGTCCTCTCACCCCGTATTCATCTCACCGTGCACGTCCGCCGCGTATACACAGCCAGGCCCGTTCTCTCTCTCCTTCCCTCCAACTTCCTCTTTCTCTCTCTCGAACCTTCTTCTACGTCGCGTGATGTTATACGTGGCATTGTGCGCGTATCTCTTCCCAAAACACAACGTACCGCACGTCCGCCGCCGTCGTCATTTACCGTTCTCTATTTATCTGGCTCCGGTCCTTTATAACGCGGGTATAAATGATGCGAGATGTAAACATCTCGAGTACCTAATCCGACAATCGAACCGATTAACGCGTTTCCCACAAACTTTTCGTCGAAACATTCGCAAGAAATCTTACGTGCGAAATGGCGTTATTACCGGCATGTCGATTCCAAACATACGAGAACGAACAGTGATTCTCATGCGCTCCGATTGCGATCCCATTTGCCTTGAAGAAAACGACCACGCGACGCGACGGTAGAAGAAAAATAGAAAAACCGGTAGATAGTGCAAAAGGAAGAAAAACAGATGAAGCAGTTCGAAAGGTTCGCTTGTTTTCTCGATTTCCCTCGCAATTTTTAACGTAGATTCGTACTTTATCCAGCGACGTGTACATACGTACATACGTGATTGTGCAGGATTAGAAAATATTCATGGCGAATCCATTGAAAATAGATTCGTAAGTCACGTAAAACTTGCATCATACGATTCGGTAATTAGGTAGGTGGCACTGCATCGGTCGCGTCTCTGTGGGAGAGCCTCTGCTTTCGGCTGGGAGCTACGTGACGCGGCGCGGTTTCAGAGGGCGTCGACGAACTCGCCCGAGCCTACGTAGAAGCAACGGAAAGCCGCGAGGACAGCGTTGGAGGGGATCAGGGGACTCGTCGATGCTTGGTTAAACGGCGGCGCAGGAGAGAGCGGAGGGATTGTTAGTAAGCGAAGCGGCCATCTTGCGAGGCTCAGTCGGAAACCAACTGCCGAGCAGTGAGGGAAGGTAAACGAAAGAGGACCCGATGTGTTAGCCGAAGGATTTTTTAATGCGCTTCCGAGCTCGGTTACCGCTACGTGCGAGAAGCTGTGTGCGATACCGAGAACGGAGCACCGATTATCCAGAGATTTTCGTTAACGGAGAAACTCTGGTTTATCCGGCGAAGAGTCTCAAGACAGGAGGGGACAAGTGGCGGGTGCGGAGGTAGACGAAGTTGCGACGCTCGAGGTGAAGCCGGGGAATTGATGTGTGCAGTCTTGCTCAAATCTCGATTCTCGTGGAAGAAGCTCGACCGCTGATAACATCTCATCTGATTGAAGCCAGTGGCGAGAAACGATAGGACGTCTATTCGTTCGGATTATCAGAGAGTCCGGATAGAAGAGAAGAAAGAACGACGGATAAGAGAGAAAGAGAGAGAAGAAGAAAAGAAGAAAGAAAAGTGTAGTGTCTGAAAGTCTGTGATAGTATTTATTCAAACGATTCAGCTACGACGCAGATCGTCTACCACAGTGAAAACAACGTTTGTTGCTCGAATAGATCACACGAGATAGAAAAACAGAGGAATAGATAGCCTTTGTATATTTATTTATATCTGTGATACCGACACTGATATACATCGAACTATCCCGAAGTGTGAGAGACAAAAAGGGTACTACGTTGTCGGTAGAGGGGGAGTGAAGTAAAGATCGAGGAAAGCAGGCGGAGCTGAAACATAGTATATTCGAAGAAAAACGCGACTTGGGAAATCAAGATTGCGGGAAAGAAGATTATATCAGTATCTTAGTGGATATAGATGTTTTTGTATATACGACTGACTCTTTTTTACAATTATTGATATCTGATTAGGGGGGAGATAGAGAGAGAGAGAGAGAGAGGGGGGGGGAGAAAAAGTATAGTTAGCGTTTCACTGTTATTCGTTGAACGAGAAAGAGTCGGGAGACTCTTTTCTGAATACCAAACACAACCGGAGCAGCATTGTCGCGTGCAAAAATGGTGGAGAAAATCTTGGAAGAACGAGAGGACGGGTGTCAGGAGGCTGGGCGAGGTAGGAATACTTTTTGCTAACTGATATCAATTAATTTTCTCTTCGAACATATATCGAAACACGATCATTTACGAGTTGCTAGATTACAACACTAGATTTACTATGTTCATTTTTATCTTTTCCTGGTGTTGGTATCGGGGAAAAAATGATTCGCAGTAATAACGATGGATGTTGGTTCGTTTTTTAATTTAACCTTCCTCTCCCTGTATTTTACCCGAATGAACTTCTGGCATGTCTCTAATTTGAAAAAAGGATATCGTTTCGATACGAACTTGTTCGGTGTTCGCGAACAAAAAGAAAAATATAGTTTCAATTAACACGTACAAACTTAGTTTATAAGGAGAAAAAGCGTACGGAATAAGCAATGGTGTATGTATTAACAGTTAAGAATTTTCAAGAACAATCGGTGTGGAGAAACACGGTACGTGACAATCGAACTCGGTTGACGGAAGAACTTTCTCGAAGCCGGTACGCGCGCTGCCAACGCGTTTTCTTCACTTCGTGTTTTCCGTTTCACTACAAATCGTACTACACTTTGTTCGAACGCGTTTGTAGAAATTCGAGTTTTATTCACTTGCCAATGATAAAGTAGAAAATGAGCTTCCTCCTACATTTCCCACGTAATTTAAAAACAGTGCATTTTTCTATGGTTAAGTTTCGACCAGGTAATCTCAACGATCACCGATATCTGTAAAATCGAAATTGAGTCGATTAATCGAATCGAGGCTCCCGGTGATTTTTATTTAGGCTATAAGAGGTTTCGGATCTCTGGTACGATAATTATATATATCTCGAAAGTAGTGTTCCGTGTATTTAACACGTTAAGCGTGGTGTCAGTCCGCGGGGACTGACAGTGAACTTTCCGTTTAGGCGGAGTCGGTCCGTGGAGACTGACAATGAACTTTTCGTTTGGGTGGCGTCGATCCGTGGGACCAGCAGTATCATGTTTAAAAAATAAATGAACACTTCTTCTATCAACCTGGAGGGGTATTTCTTCATCTGAATGCTGTGTGAGCGCATTTGTTATCTTCTGTTTATACTCTATAACCGAACAGCTCGCGAAGTGATCGCCACTGTCTGCCGCCTGAACGGAAAGCAGAGCGAAATCGGCTCTCCGCGCTCAACGTGTCAGGGTAATAACAAGCATTGATCATTCCATTATATATTTTATTTCACGCGTGCAAAATTGTCATTTTTAGTACTTTATTTTTCTGCTCGATTCGTTTTATGCAATTTATAATATTGCATCAAGTAGCTAGCTATATATTTGAAATATTTGATGGCAGTAGAGAGAAGAACAGACAAAATCACTTCGTTTCGAAACGCTCACCGGTTTTTGAGGGGCAAGAGCAGGAGGAGGGATGATGTGATCAAGTACCAAGAGCGAGGGGCGGAGGCAAAGGGTGCGATGAGCAATGGTAGTGGGGTATGAAGGGGGGGGAAGCAGCGGCAGCTGTGGCTGGCGAAACAGGGGGTGCTATGACGACGTAGCACGCATAGTTGAATTATTTTGGAGGGACGAAGTGGGTTAGTCGGTTCGCGCGTTCCGAGTTCGAGGCAAATCGTGAAGGGCGTCGGTAAGGGCAACCCAAACAAAGGATGGTTGAGAAGCAGTGAAAGTTTGGGGGGTTGTGTGTGTGTGCGCGCGCGCGCGTCATGCATGCATGTATGTATGTCAGACTCCTCTCATTCTCTTACCCTTCGTTTTAAAGGGAATGATTTGTTTCGAAGGACAAAAGGAAGTATGTGTTCTGGCTCTTGAAAAAGGGGAGCTATCGAACAACATTGAAAATAAAACCCTTTCACGAACAGAGCGAGTTGGACTGATCGATATCGCATGTACCTTAATCAATCTTATTTTAATGTGATAAAATTGATAAATTCTCACGAATACTTTTTTTTTAATGAGACTAATAAAGAAGTAGGGTCGTGTAACGTCTTTAACCTTGAAACTTGTTAACATTCGAGTAAATTCAATTTTCTTCGCATTCTGTTGTTAAACGTCGAACAAATGCTGGAGAGTAAAATTTACTTTGACGGAATATTTGTTTAGTGCGTATTTTTTCTTACTTTATTTCAATGCTGCCTCCTTTTTCAGTCGGTCTTCTTTTGTTCTGTTCGTTGTCACGGTTTTTTGCGAATGCAGCAACGACATTATCGTACGTGCATAGGTATCTCGCATAAGATGGCGGCGTTCCTTTTCTGTGCCAGTCATTGAACTTCTCTTAGCGCTCAGTGTTTGGCCAGTGTGCGAACAACTAAAATCTATCGACCAAATTACACTTCTGCCCGAAAATCACATTTCGAATTATTCCGTTTACGATTCTCATCGTGCACGACAATGCAGGACAATAATTATTGCAGGACAATAATTTCGAATTATTCACAGGGAACTGTTTGCTTTCGCATTCGATTGTCGGTATTCGTTTACGGCAGTCGGTGCACAACAATCTCAACGATCAACCACAGCGCCGAATCGTAATAATTTTATAGTGGTTAGGAAGGAGAGTAGTTATTGGAAGGAGGAAAGAGATAGGGCGGAAAAGGAAAGAGAAATAGTAGTAGGTGTGTTTCGTCTCGTAGGAATTGACGATGAAAATTTGTCGAGAGAGATTGATGTTTCGCCAGTTAGTCCGTTGCCCTCTGGTGGTGGAGCATAAGAGGTATATAACAGAGAGTCTCGGCACAGTTTCGTTATTCCGCTGCTGTTCGTTGTTCATTCCATCGAATATGGTCGCGCGCGCAGAATTTCTTCCCGACGACCCACGCGACAACAACTCGTGCACTTTCGACTTAAAGGAGTGGCGTTCATGCCCGACTCCTCATATTTTACTGGCTGGTATTTACGTCTATTCCGAGGTATATAATGGCGTTTGAAAATTTTCATATGCGTTTGGACTGCATTTTCTTTTCTTTCAGCAATTGCAAATAACGAGCAACGAGCCAGCGTGTGCGATATCGATACGATATCAACAGCTCCGTGTTGACCTTGCTCGCGTAAATTGTATCGAAAGAATTGTTTCCACGATTAGCAGACGAGCGCTCTCTCTTCCAGTACTTGTCTTTGTTGTAACCGACGGTGCGAATAAATTTCGAATTATTTGGAACGTAGACGATATTAGCTCGAACGTAACGATGCAACGATCGTGTTATAGAAACGAATGAAATATGTAATAATCATCTATGACTGATAAGGTAAATATTATTAATACGCGTAAAGAGAAGGATGACTAATGCCGTGGCGCGTTGGTTTTGCGGTCGGGCAACGCGTAGATAAACGTGTACGAGAATAAACGATATGTACTATGTCTGGTAACGCGTTAACGAAAGCGGGAGTTGTGTGTCACGTGTAATACCCACCCGGCTGGCTGATTCTCGAGAAATTCCGCCTGCGAATAAACAACCGTTGCGTAACTTCTGCTTATTGCCTATTACCCCACTTCGCATCTCGGGTCTTATTTCTCTACCTTCTTCGAGATCTGATCTTGGTTCGGTTTTGTTGGTCGGGGTACGCTTCGTTCACCCTTTTCTACATTCCTAATCGATACCGTAAAATGCCACTTTACGTACAGGCCGGACTGGAAATAGAATACATCGATCGTCTTTTTAATCATACGACAGTCGATTCGTTTAGTTTCGAGATTACGCCGAAGCATGCTCATTCATGATCAATGATCAATTGAAACATGCGGTTGCAACGTTTTTGTTTTTCAGAAGATGCAAAATGCAGGGACACCGTGAGCACAACGGGGGAATCTATGAACACGGTGCAAGCTCGACAAGAGGAGGCCAGGCGTAAGAGACGCAGAAAGAAACGCTCTGGTTCTTCCTTGATGTCTTCTTGTTTTCAAGGTAATATCTTCGATTGGTACATATAAAGATTTGGTGCGCGAAAACTAAGGAAATATCGATAACGGTGCACATAAAACGAATCACAATGGTAACTTTTTCATTCGATGTTAAATCATTAGTTGAACAGTAAAGGACATTAATTCTGACATACTGTGTACACACGTACAAAGGAGCGAGTGTCCAGTTAGTGGCCTATGTGACTCGTGTGCTCCGGTGACTTGCATTTCACATAGGTATCTGACCTTGCACAAGTTCAGAACGTTCGAGAAACTCGCGTAAAACTGCCGATCAGAGTACGATCGATCGAACGCGCAAGCTCGAATTTTGTTCGTTCTCAGTGCAACGGCCGACAATTTTTCTACACTTACTTGCTGAACGTATATTTCGTCAGAGGAGCAGCAGAGTACACGATCGACTACTCGTTTTTCCCCTTCGTGCGGATATTCTGCTTTCGAAAAAATCATGAAAAAAAGAAAGACACTGTTTTAGACTTGCGCTCCGGAACATAGAAGAGATGAACATAATGGATGGATATAATTTTTCTGAAAAACCACTGACCGAGTTCATTGGTTTAGACCGTTACGTCACACAGTCTATACGATCGATTCGTATAAAGCAGAGTTTCGTGTTCGAGAAGCTTCCACTCCGTACTTATATCCTACACGCTAAAATCTGGGGCACGGGTTCACTCGTCGATATATCTGGAGCTTCATTGCCTCTTCACATTTTTACTACCGTTCCTTCTCCATCTTTGTCCTTCCTCGCGTATAATTTAAACATGCTTTCCATGTAATTTTCCAATTTTAAGTTACAAAAACAGTAGGTACGTTCAGTCTTTCAAATATTCCAATCTGTTCACGTACGTTAGGGTACATTACATAACACGTAACATTTTTGCTAACAGTTCAGAGTGAACGAATTATTCGTTGACGCATTTAAGCGTATTCAACGGGTGGGTTAGGTTAGGTATAATTGAGCAACACGAACTCGTATTACGTGTTAAATGTGCGTGTTACGATGAAATTCGACGTATCGATTATGCATTATGATATGAAATAAACGGGTACAGAAGCTGTTGTACAATTTGGCGTAGAAAGCATGGGAGGTGTATTATCGGCTTCTGGTTGCTAGGAGGTATTCGGCGGTGTTGCCAAGCAGAATCGTATCTTTGGCGTGAGGCAAAATGAGTAGAGGCCGCAGGAGGGAGAGCAACCGTGTGGGTTAGGGAACAGAAAAGGGAAGGTAAAAGAGAGTTGATAGCAGCTTGCAATGCTACATATGTAGTTGAAACGTTGAACGAGGGAACGAACGAACGACCGACGAGTTGGGTAGAATGGACCGAACCGGACCGGACCGGAACGGAACGGAACGGAAGCGAAGCATCGTGTTCACAGGAGTGTGGCGGAAGGGAGGGGAAGGAGCTGGGCGGAGCGGGAGAGAGGTAGAGAGGCGAGAGAGAACGGGGAGTTTAAAGACCTCGGAAAGGGAGAGACGGAAAGAATATGTTTATATGCGCAGTAGATATTGCGTGCGACGATGCTTTCGTTGTGTGATCCCCCCCCCCAAGCTTTAACATTGTTTAACTTAACACGGCTTCGATTTGATCCCACCTTCTACCTGTTACGACGAAAACGAAGAAAAGGTGATTGAACAACCAGTATTTTCAATGATATTAATAATTCACGTAGGTATATGTATGCGATTAAAATAAGCTGCTCTTACGAGTAATAATAGTGATAATAAAGAACACTCTTGCTACGAAACTTGGATCAGTTTGCGTACGTGACGCCAGTCGTGATTATTTTCGGACGAGAATCTCTCTCTCTCTCTCTCTCTCTCTCTCTCTCTCTTTCTGGTCTGATGTTGTTCATTATATGCTCTAAAGTTTGCTTATCCGTTGAACGCGTACTCCTCGAACTAAAATTTTGATACTTGTTTCAGAACTGTACAGATTGACTGGTGAAGTTCTTGGAGAAGGTGCTTACGCCTCGGTTCAGACTTGTAGGTCGCTCTACACGGATCTCGAGTATGCCGTTAAAATCATCGACAAAATTCCTGGACATGCACGCGCGCGTGTTTTCAAAGAAGTCGAGACGTTTCATCATTGTCAGGGGCATCCGAATATCATTCAGCTAATCGAGTTTTTCGAAGACGAAGAGAAGTTTTATCTGGTATTCGAGAAGGTAAACGGTGGTCAACTGTTGAATCGAATTCAAGAGAGGATTCATTTCAGCGAGCGAGAAGCGAGTCAAATAGTCCGGGAGATCGCAAGCGCGTTAAATTTCCTTCACAAGAAAGGTAAGAATGGCGCAAATTGTATACGTATATAAGTACGTAAGTACGTATGTACGTACAATGTATGTTAACCGAGACCGTTTTGTTGGTTGTATCCCGTTAGGTATCGCCCACAGGGATCTGAAACCGGAAAACATTCTGTGCGTGTATCCAGATAAACTGATACCGATTAAAGTGTGCGACTTCGATCTTGGTTCGGGCATCAAATTCAACAACTCGCTGTCCAGTCCTGTAGCTACGCCGCAACTTCTAACTCCGGTTGGCAGCGCTGACTTCATGGCTCCGGAAGTTGTCGAAGCTTTCATCGGGGAAGCAAATTATTACGATAAACGATGCGATCTATGGAGCCTTGGCGTGATCATGTACATTCTTCTCTGTGGTTATCCACCTTTCTACGGGAATTGCGGTTCCGACTGCGGCTGGGAGCGAGGAGAGCATTGTCAGGCTTGCCAAGAGCTCCTGTTTACCAGTATTCAAGAGGGCAGGTATGAATTTCCGGACAACGAATGGAGCTGCATTTCGGAGGACGCGAAAGATTTGATCAGAGGTCTGCTTGTGAAGGAAGCCCATCAAAGACTCAGTGCCGAGAGTATTTTGAAACATCCATGGATCAATCCTGGTCCGAGCCTGGTTGAAAATACCGAGAAATCTCTCAAGACTCCTCATATAATCAGGTAGGTTCGTTATGTACGAAAAGTACCGAAATAGCAGGCGGCGACGGCGGAGGCGCGCGTTCGATTCGAAAGTCTTGTTCCACCACCGTGTCCATGCGTGCGTGTATGTGCATCGTTTATACGCTATCATAATATAAACGGTATATCTATTTTTGCTCGCAGGAGGAACAATTCCGCCAGAGAACTGTCGGTGTTCGCCGAATCGGCAATGGCTGTGAATCGCGTGGTACTTCAACATTTCTCCGTGAATTTGGAGGAGTTATCGGAGAACAGGGAGCCAAGATTGTCCACTTCGTCGACGGACGAAGATAACCATCCGTATGGACACATGTCCGACTCTAGCAGCGAACTGTCGGAGCACAGTAAGCTTTGCGCAACTCATTCCTCGAACGAGTTCGATGCGAACTCGCGCCAGAAGTCTTGCTCGGTTCATTCGAGCATCGATCTGACCGATTCGAAAACCATCGGGGGAAAGAATCGGCTTGTGATCGGTAAAGATTCCTCCCTGCATCAGTTGTTCGGCTTGTCACCGCCTAGCGAGAGCCGTTTGATGCAGCGCCGTCTAAAAGCTCGCTCGGATCTTCTCGAACGTCAAACCAACAAAGCAGTGATCGCTTCACCGAGTGGCTGAAAGGTGACAACATCTTTTGCGGGAAAAGGAAAAAAAAAACAAAGATCTCCTTTCTTGGTAGCGCGTATTATTCGTATTTACACGTCTGCATATAGGGATATGAAAAGATTTACAGTAATGTTATCTATCGGGGCACCTTCACCAAGGGTAACGACGATAGAAACGATTCTATGATTGGCTAAACGAAGGTCGTGTGTGTTACTTTACGAATATCCAGAGCCACTAGATAATGATTATAGACGCGCGACAATTGACGATTATTGCACACACCGCTCTATACATATAACAATACACACACCAACGTCACATGACAGTCAGATGGACAATAATTATTCGCGATCTTGTATTCTATTCACTTTGTATTCTACGGAATTAAAGAAAAGAAACATCTCGTACCCAAACATTGCTCTTTCTTTTATCGTCGTTTCTTTTTTTTTTCTTTTCTTATTCATACTTTTTTGCTTTCTTTTTCTTTTTAATGCAGTTACAATTTGGATAAAGTATCATGGAGACGCGTTAAACAATATGAACGAACATAGAGCGAACACACCGTGGGCCCGATAAAACACGCATCTGCATCCATTGTGAATAAACAAACGGTCGCACGCGCGCTCGTATTTAAACTGGAGTGTGAATTGAAGGCATTTTTAGTCTCGGACATGTAAAGTCTGCAATGTGTGCATTCCATTGTCGGGGTAATCATTTGAAAACCTGTACGTATAGCATAATATAAAGGATAACGTGTATAACATACATACGGTAGATAATCTTCCTGTACTTTCGCTATTATAGTACGTAGAAGAGTAATATGCTCGTTCATATCGATTTATCGAGACGACAGATGCACGAACGGACGCGAAAGAAGAGAAAGACATGGATACATTTTTGTTCTTAGCATTAGAAAGAAAATCTTTTGCGGTTCATATATGTACATACGCGTACACCAGCTTTTTCTTTGCTTTCTTGCTTTTTTGCTTTTTTGCTTTCTTACTTTTCATTAAATGTATTTCACTTAAGGAAGAGTGTACGAGTTAACGAAATATTTTCAAGTTTCTCTTCTTTCCTGATCATGTGTTCGAGAATGATAAACAACAACTGCGCGACACATCCTCGAAAAAGAACAAAAAAAAGAAAAAAGTAAAAAAAGAAAAACAGCGCGAGTAGCGCTCACAAGAGTGAAACGCGCGCGTCTTCTTGGTGCATGTTACGAATAGTTTGCTCAGTAGGTTTCTAAGAATGTAGTAGAGTGTAAGTCCGAAAATGTCGCAAATAAATATATCCAAGAAAGGAAAGAACCACCCGCGTTCGTGTCGAGAGCAAAAAGGGGCGACAACTACGACGGTCATTTTTTGTAAATGTCTCTTAAGTATCTTTGTAGAGAGTTAGTGTGTAAGGAAGATAAGGAAAAAAAAACAGTTAGTTTAACAGAAAATTGAAAAAAAAGGGAAAAATTACAGAAAAAATTGTACCTGCGTCGTAAGTGATTAAGAAAAAGTATACCGAGTGAAAGAGGGAGCGTGAAAAGGAGGAGAAGTACAGAGATCAGAGATTGAGAGCGATTCCCGTGCACGCGGCCGCGCGTTCACAGGAACATTTTCTCGAAGAACCTAGATTACACGAAATCACATCCATTAATTATTGTTACGTATTTTTGTAGAGTTTTATCGATGAAATGTGGTTTTATCATCTGCCCACCTACAGTCGCGATCACCCCCCCATCCTTCCCCCCCCCCCCCTCTCTCTCTCTCTCTCTCTCTCTATCGATTACAGTCGATTAGTTCCCTTTCGATTAATGATTTTCACTTCCACAAAATATATCAAACGTGTGTATACGTTTTGCATTGTTGCACATGCGTATATAATAGAGTGTAAATTATCGAAAATTTCATGGAATGTTCAATTGCGCGCGCGCGCATCTACATACTACTATTCCAGAAAACAATTTTTC